ACACACACACACACACACACACACACACACACACACACACACACACATACCCACTCACGCACAGCCATATGTCCTCTAATGGGTTTAGCCTGGCTGATGATTTCTGGTGTCTGGCAGCAACATGCTAACAGCAGCAGCCATGATGGTGATTGTGCCATATATGGCAGGATCTTGCTGTACACACCTGCAGACAGAATAAATAGCACATGAATTATAATTGATCTGTTTATTTCCATGGGTTACAGTCATAGGTCTTTTTCACAGAAGACATTTTGACATGTCACACCATTACGACTCTTATGCTTTTACTACTGTGACAAGCCAAAATGTCTGCTGCAAAAAAAGGCCTAAAACAAAGAAACTCAACTTGTCACACGCAGGTGTAATGAATAACATATGAATTGCTGCATTGGAACAGAACCATCATTGATATCATTGGCTTCACTTGACAGACCTGCTCATCATGCAAACACATCAAGCAAACACATCAAGCAAATGTAAAATGTAGTCAGAGCTTTATGTCTTTTAACTGTAAAGAATAAGTCCCTACTTTCCCCAGTGTTGTTACTGACTGACTTTAGAATCACTGGGTAATATTACGCCTATCCTCGATGAGAAGGTCAATGTTGGCTTGACACACGTCTCATATGGAGCTAACTTATCCAAAATGTCACCAGACGCCTAACCCTGTGGTGCTTTTAATATTATGAACAAAATCCTAAAGATTTGTCTTGAAGTTTCAAATATAATCACATTTTTATATAAAACAATTGTATGCACATATAATGTCAGTTATTTAAAAAATGTGACTTGGCAACAAAGACATTTTAGAGGAGGTTAGGTTTTCCACCAATAGCAGCCTCCCTTTTGATTTATTTTGGGTTATTTGTAATTTAAAGGGGCACTCCACCTCACTGATTTTAGATATTGCCATGTGAAGTTTGTAAGTCTCTTGTGAGTCTCTAAACCTTGTGGAGGAAGGATAAATTGCTGGAGTAAATTATGTTCACTCAAGTGTATTAATATCATCGACAGTGAGTCATTCCAATCTCTCTCTCAAAGTATAGTTTCAACAGTGTGCACAAATACAAGAACAACAGAAAGACTCCAAAAACACTTACCCATGTAGATCACATAGGGACAAATGATGGTGCCTATGCGTGCAGCTGTGGAGGCGATGCCTAAGCCCATGTTCCTGATCACCGTGGGGATCAGCTCAGTGAAAAACACAACGATCATGCTGTAAGCAGCAGACACACCAGTCTTTCCCAGCAAGGCTAACACCTGGAGCATGACATGCATGTCTGAGAAAAACAAACAAGATCATTAGACAAGGCCTATACAATCTCACACACGCATAGCGTCTTCTGGTACTTTCAGGGATGCCGGATTCAGTCAATATTGCATTGAGAAACAGACCTTCAGGCACCAGCTTGATAATGAGAAGCATGATGCCACAGAACATCAGAGTGGAGAAGAGGATTGTAGGTCGTGACACATGGTTAGCTAGCGCCCAAGTGGCTCCATACACTACAATGTCAATGGCTGCTGAAATGAAGCAGTTGAGGTAGACATCTCCATTCAGGTTACTGGTATTGAGAGAGAGAGACCATAGAAGACCATGGAAGTGGACATCCTGCAGAAATACAAAATCAAGACTGGATAAAGGCGGAAGGCAGTGTGTTTGAATAATACATTGATCTCAAAAGTGCATTTTACTTTGACGGTGCCATATGGTGCCCTATAGCTCAGATTGAGACCAAATTGCTTTGAAGACGCTACAGTTTATTTTAGTTTTGATTGAACTATTTAAAGGGCAATTTCAACTTATTTTCCTTGATTTATTTTTGTTATCAAAAAAATAAAGTTGGCACATGATTTGGAACCTGCTGTTATTCTCAAATCACTAACAACTAAATCTGAATTATTAATATTTTCTGATACAATTACAAAATAATCACAGAAAAACCCTTTAGCGTTAAGACAAACTTTTAAATGTGAAAGTGTGGATTTCACAGTCAGAATTTATATTGTGCCTTATAATAATAATAATAATAATAATACATTTTATTTATATAGCGGTTTTCATAGTACTCAAAGACACTTTACATTAAAATCATCATATATATATAAAAGCAACACACTAAAAACATAAATGTAACCTTATGTAATTAAGGTATCATAACGTTTTCTTAACTCTCCAGTCGAACACATCCTAACTGTTACTGATCTTGTTCATCATTTTTTTGTAAACTACACTTGTTTGCAATATATTTTGAGGGCCTCCATTTAATATTTATTTATCTTTTTCAAGTTCAGGGTGGCAGTCTGGCAATCAGAGTTATGAGGATTTATTTGTCAAACATACAGTAACTGTAAATTTAGCCAGCCTGCTGCCACCGCGACCCGACCCTGGAGGAAAATAGATGGATGGATGGAACTGTAAATTTAAGGAATTACTTTGATGTAGAATAAAGTGTACGCACAATCATGTTCAGAAAAGTTACGAACAAAGAAAATAAGTCATATTACCATATGAAAACACTCAGAATTGTAATATTCCTTAAGTTAGGGGTGCGTATCAGGTCCAGATAAGTGTATGTCTGCTCCTCTTCACCTTTATTTTGCTGAATTAGACATATATGAAAAGAAACAGAACGGTCACATTGCATGCAGTGAAATGTAATTCTAGTCAAAAGTGCCACCTGACTCACAGTTTTGGCTATATTTCATACTACACAATAGGTTCTACAGCATGAGGAGTAAAAATGGAGTAAATACCATTAGCTCCAAGCACTCGTCAGCCCTGAATATGACCTCAGGAGCAGGGACTCTGTTCCTTTTGGCCAAAACGCGTATGACAAGCTCAGCCTCCTCCACACGACCTTTCTGCAAAAGCCAGCGAGGAGACTCAGGAATCAACCTTAGCGAGATTGAAGGACAGAATTTCATTGATCTTTGGCAGTTATTTAAAAGAATGAAACCCCTTCAAGAGGTGTATTTGTACTTGGTAATGCATGGACTATATGTCACAGAGAACATTAGAGTATGCTCATAGTTTTATGATGACAGAGAGGAAGCAAAAACAGTCCGCTATGCTGGAAGTTGAAACAGTATCATCACTTTTGAATTGATTCTGACTGACCTTTGGTTTGGATAAACTATCATGTGTTTGCAAATAGTGGTGTAGACATTATTTTGAATGATTTGGATCTATTAAATTTGATTTATTACTTTATCTTCCCTTTTCAATACGTCCAAGGCTGACTCTGTGTTTTTTATTCTTCTTTTATGATGTTTTAGGATAATCAAAAAAAGTTACAAGCGGTACAACAATCATTGGCATCGGGACCACTCCGACATTATGTTATGAGACACAAGGAGAATTTAAATCCTAGTCCTTACATAGGACATACCATTGACCAATTATATTCAGCCAACATTCACCAGACTTACCACCATGCTGGAATGAATAGGAAGCCGGGGATGGCAGTAGCAACCAGCAGCATTCTCCAGCCTCGTATGAAGTAGGCAACGAGTGGCAACAAGGCATATCCAACGCCAAAACCTACACAGTGGCCCAGCAGAGCAAAGCTCATCCTGGTAGTCTGGCTCAGCATCTCAGACCCTAACCAAGAAGAGGATTTGGAGCATGGTGTTAATATGAGACAGTACAGTATATTTGATATCAAATTAACACATAAACAATGTGAAAACTATCTGCAGCCCTTTTGAGTTCATTGCTTCCTTCAACTACCTGAGCACAAGGCAATGACCTTGTACAGCTTGCATCAAACTACAAGCAAGTAAGCTGCGCTTTGTCACAGGAAGATATTGAAGAAGAGATAAAGACATGGGCTCTTTTGAGACCAATAGAAGTGCATGTGCTTGAAGTAATTGAAGTAATTGAAGTAGCCAAGTCCTCTCAGAGCGTTGAGGATACAGAACATGATCCAACTGACGGAGGTGGCCTGGATCAAGGGAGTGACTGTTAGTAAGGCCATGGTGGAAAAAAACACCGGCCTCCTGCCAAACCTGTAAGACAATGCACAGGAGCATGAAATGAACAGGGCATGTGTAATCTGTGAGTGTACACCATCACACCGAGTGTTAGACTTGTATGTGATGAGCTGCCTCTTCTTTCCTTTCTCGATCTCGAAGTCCCTCGGTTTTTTTTGGGTTTTTTTTGCTGCTAGCACCCCAGACATCAGTGAAAACTATTAGGCAGTAAACCAACAAATCAAAAATTGTATTTTCATTATTAGAGCATTATTAATTAATTAGTCAATTAATCAATTTATAAAATATACAATCAAAGACCATGAAAAAACAAATCTATTGCATTCTAAAATAACATAAAATTGCATTTAAAAGTTATTTCAATGTCGCAGTTAAGCAATCAATCAGCAATAATACAGCAATCTACTGTATATTTAAGAAGCATTTGAGTTTAGATAAAAATTCACTTTGATTGTGAGATTTTAGTTGGCAAGATTCGCTGACTGGTTAGAGATATTTGTGCAAAATAATGTTAATCTGTCTCATTTCATGCAATATCATATCTGTATCTGCTTTCCTTTGACTTTAATATTATTCGTTGTTTGTCCAGCTAACAGACTAATGTTGCAGTTGAGGATGATCATAGGTGTTGAAATCAAAAAGGGCAAGTTCAATTTCTTATTAAGACAATACTGTTAGACTGTGGTTGGATTACTGCCCCATGTGGCCAACCATTGTATTCAATTGTTACTAAATGGGCGCTCGTTGATGGCGTATAGTTAAATAAATAGTTTGAATGAACCTGGGACCGGAATAACCATTAAAGAACATGAGCAGTGTTTGTGGTAATGATCTGTATTGTACAGCCTTAAGTATGGCTTCAGAAGAGATGCCTGGACACGAAAAGGTTCAAATGGCCGAAGGGCCGATCCCACCAAGACGCGTCGCTAGAAACGCGTCTTCCGTAAAACCATTGTTTGCCTCTGTGTTATGGCGCACCTGGTTCGCGCTCTTCTCCTGGGCCGCGCCGCGTGTTCCAGGCGGTTTTGGACGCGCATAACAGTTTAAATATTTTCAACTGTTCAGCTCCAGGCGCATAGTCGGACCGCTCATCAATGTCCCAATTGACCGAGGCAGCCAATCAAATCAAGCAAGAGGCGGGCTTTACTACTTTATCACCGACTTCCCGTTGTTATGCCGCTAGATGTGGTAGGAACGGACATACTAATTAAAATTAACTATATAATTCCCCCCTCACCCTCATTCAACAACATCTATAGCTTAATGTCTGCACTGAATCATTTCCCCCCCGTTATTTACATTTGATCGCCTGGTTGCGCACGCACCCCCGCTCCACCGGATCCGACTCGCTCCTTCGTCTTACTTTTGAACTGAATAAAAAGGTGTGGTGTGGTGTGGGATGAATAACTTGCAGCTCAGCCTAAACACAAACTTGTTGGTGTTGGTATTATTCTGTGGAAGGGTTTTTGTTCCACGCTGTGTTGTGCTGGAGCAGAAGACTGAGAACAACACTGACATTCATCTTTTTCTCTCCATCTAATTTGCGTGTGAACAAGATAATTGGCTGGTGTGTATTTTAATGAAATGTTGGTAATTATGCTTTTAGTCTTTAAAGGGATCATAAAGGCACCTCCCAATCTATTCAGTCAGACAAACAAACAGTCACTGAAGGTTTAAGTGTGACCCTGGCGTTCCCTGCTGCTCGTCTCTTATTTAAATGGTAAATGTCAAACTTAATTTTGGACGTTATTTATGTCCATCCAATCGTAATTGTGCTGTCTGTTGAGGAACCATGCAGTGATTAGTCAGTGTGGACGAATATCTCAGGCTCAACTTAATTTTAACAAAAAGATATGCATGAGAACGAATGATTTTTAAATACAAGTCAGAAAAATAAATAGATAAAACAGACAGACTGAAACTGGAACAGGCAGCACCAAAATTATAGCTGCTATTTTAGGATGAGCTACAGGAGGAACAAAAGTAAGTTATATGTTGGAAAGGATCTGTCAAAATGGACTATTAATTGTGTTTGAAATAGTCTTTTTTTCATAAATGATTGATCAACTTCATGTACTGCAACTTGTTATTGTTTTTATTATTATTATTATATTATTAATAATCATTATTCACAAAGAACATACTTGCCGATCTGAGAGGTCACCACTGATAAAGGATCCAATCAAGACTCCTACAAAGAACAAGGAGGTGGAAAAAGGGACCTTCCATGCATTGTCACACACCAGATCCCACTGGAAGTATAGAGAGAGAACAGTTGCAGCAAGACACAAATTGGAGGATCCTGACATTGAAGTCAAATGTAATCTAAAATAATCTAAAGTTTAAAAAAAGTTAAAGAAAGAGAACAGTCATCTTCACGAACAAAGGATTTAGGCCTATACGTCCAATTATTTTAGCTTAATCCTTATTCTACAAATATACCTCAGACACAATAGTGGCGGTGTATCCCTCGGTGCTAAAGGCCGATCCATCCAGACATTGCTCCGTGTCATTGCTGGGTCTCGCTGTATCGGTTCAGTTTGTAACGGGAACAGCCGGTCCGATCCAGCTGCTCTGCTCTCGGAAGGGAACCTCCACATCCGTGCGCGTGGAGGCGTTCGATGCTTTGCAGTGATGCTCAGGTGTGTCCGAAACGAAAACCACGACCATACTCGTATATCCGCATACGATTGCGCTTAAACTGAGCAGAGCAATTATTACAATTTGAGAGAAGCCATAGACGCCCAAGAAAGACGTAATTTCATCGAAGTCTTTCCCACATGACATGACCGACAGCAATGGCACGCTGCTACATCTGGGAGTGTTATATTTCAGGTTATGTTGTTTTGACAAGGAGACGTGTTATCACGTATAGTATATAAAAAAGGTTCCTTGAAGTCAGAGTGGCAGCAAAGAAATCTGCTGTGTGTCTGCAGGACAGGTCTTTATTGTTCCTTATACCGTGCTTCTTATTTAGTTTTGTATGTTGGATACTTCTTTCTTATTTCAACAGGTTCACCCCTGCAGCAATGTGCATGCTGGGACACACAGCTTCGCCTATCTTGTTTGTCTGGATGTATTTGGTGAGTCACAAGGCAGGCAGTGTTATAGCTGCAATTATGCAAATCAAAAGCAGTCAGAACACCATACTGACAAATGTGTCTTCAGTGAGTGTTAGCAATGTTTACACATGTACTCTCATTCTGGCAGTTGGGGACTCTGTTGTCCTTTAAATTATTACATTTTAGGCTTAAGACTTGGTTGAACGTTAAGATTTGGGTTGTGGTTGGAGTTGGGTTATGTATGCAGTGATTATGGATAAAGGTGAATCTCCAGTGAAAAGAGAGTGCAGAGACCTCTTTCCTGATGGAAACGAGTTTGTTTTTGATACTAGTAGAGAAACGCTGCGGCTTCTTTCTGTCTACTTCATAGTTCATGAAATATTAAATAAAAGAAAAGAAAATGTGATTGTTGTGATGACCATGAGATGAGACTGAAAGTCTTGAAAGCCAGTAAGTTGGTCTTGAGTTAAGATTATTTTGTCAAATGTCCAATGATGAGGTAGGGAACGCATCAGATGAAATGCACAGACAGTGATATGTCCCCAGCAATGTTGGCAATCAGCTAAATATTTTGTCATTTTCTCTAGAAGAGCAATTTGTTTGCAAGAAGAAACAGGCAGAGGACATAACATCTGTGGGAATAAATAAATAGTATTGTTATATTTATACCAGTAGCACCCAGAGTAAATAGAAACAGCCATTAAAACACCACAGTAGTTGTGTGTACAACCACCACAAGATGGCGCAACAACGCATGAAATAGTCAGTGGTTCTGCTTCTGCCCAGATATTTGTTTTCACAGGAATGAGGTCAGCTGATGTGCCTTACATTTCAAGGTTGTGAATAAAGCAGTGGTGGAATAAGTATTCAGAAACTTCACTTAGGTACAACTCAATACCACAATGTAAAGATAATCATCATGTAGTACCACCATCCAATATAAAAGGGCAGAAACTTTAAAACTTTAAAGAAAAGGGATGTTGAAGAACCAGGTTGATAAGCAGAAGTAAAGAAAAAATTGTGGCATTTGTTAACAGAAAGTTTAATGAAAGAAAGGACAAAAATGAAATGTGGTCATTTTAATAACACTGAATTTAACTGAAGAAAAAGGCCACCAAAGAAGTTGGAACCTACCACCTGCCCAGGTAAATGTAGGGTGAGGTAAACCGAGCAAGAGCCCAAATTCACACAGAATAATGGACACACCATTAATACAAGATATCTAAGTTACTGCTGACATCACAATCTATCTATGGGCACTCATTACATAGCAATGAGAAAACCAAATATAACAGAACATCATTACGTGCAGATCTATCTACCTGTATAATGAGGCATAACTTCCCTTGATGTGCCTGGTGAAAAGGGAGAATGGCAACCTTTTCGCATCAACAGTATTCTTTGACAGCTATAGCTTCGAGATGAATATAGAGTAAAATAAAACATTTCCTTTTGAAATGTAGTGAATAAAAGTGTAAAGCAGCATAAATTGGGAGTATTCAAGTAAAGCACAAGTATCGCAAAAGTGTACTTAAGTGCAGTACAAGAGTAAATCGTTACATTCCACCAGTAATTAAAAAGTTGTTTTATTTATAAAACAGATGAAACAAAGCACCTTTAATTAAAAGACTCACCTGAATGTTAACAATTACATTTCATCAAACCTTGGAGTCAAACACTAGAGTTCAGCATCTTGATATCTAGTTTTCTTAACTTCTTGAAATGCTGCATGGCATCAAATAAGTAATCAAATCAGTGAAGCACTTTTGATAAATGAACTGAGTTCATTTGCATGTGTTAGAAGCATGACATCATATTGAGATGGTTACTGAACCTGACAGCCACACCTGGAAACAAGTGGAGTAACACCGCATCACTGCTCGGCCCATCCACATTGACCCCTCTCCTCCCGATTGCCACACCTTGCCATTCTTCGGCCAGTGCTGTTACCATAGCAACGCCTCTCTCTCTCTGGCCGTGCCCTCTGACCCCTGGAGAGGAGACCTTTGGCCTGAGGGTGATCAAACGGGGTCATGGGGTCAGGTCTGGCTCGAGGACAGTAAAAGCACTTCAATGATTGGCTATCATTTGCCCTTTCTATACCCTCATCTATGTAATTGGCATATTGACAAACTGGCCCTTTGCACATTGTTAGCAGCACCTTATCCAGTTTACATAGGATGAAGTGAAGTGTGGAGGGTGGGGATATTTATGTGCATAGTCATTTTTTGTTTGCCTCTTCTTCTTGCTTCCATCTCGAACGCTTTCTGAGTCATGGAGAAAGTGAATCAACCGATGAAGGACTTCGGTGGACGTTGTGAAGCTGGTGGATGTCTGCTGGGCAACCAGAGAACGCTAGCTGTAGGGTGGATGATAGGGAAACCCCTCCATCCATTTGGCACGGCCACATCCCAGCCTTCTTTTCTTTCCCTCTCCCTCCTGATGATCTATGCCTGCAGGCCCATCACTTGTCAATATCTCTACATTAATTTGAGAGACTGAGACACTGGGGGGTGGGGGAGGGGCTCTCTGAGCAGGTAGAGGGAGGCATGGAGGGGAGAGTAGTGGCACACAGGAGACAAGGACATAGGAAGGAGAGAGCCAGGCAGAGGAGGAGAAACGAGAGGAAAATTAGGAAATGGAAACGGGTTGAATGATGGGAGAGCCGAGCGTGGGTGAGAAGGAGATGACCGGACAAAGAGGCTGTGTTTTGCCCATTAACCATTCTTATACATGGCTTCCCTCAAATATCAAAAGCCCTCTCCATTTGTCCAAATCAGCAGGATCCGTAATGATAATGGTTGTTTGAGAGCTGAGCCCCAATGCCAGGAGAATCCATCACTCTCCGCCATCAAATCTCCAAAGCCTCTGCGAAGAGAAAGCGGAGCACAGCGGTGATTCATGAGAAGAAAAGGGACGTGTTTTCATTTCGATGGAGAAATATCACATACCTGCACTGACAACCTGACTCCACTTTGGGGGCTTTAACCCAACCCGCTGTAGTGAAAGACTTCCGGTATATGGGAGCTGACAATAAAAATGATGGCTTGTTCAATAACCATCCCCTCCTCTATTACTCTGACATCCGTCCTCTGGGCTTCTGTGGTATTTTCAGGGACCAAAAGTGAGCCTTCACCTCTCACCCCTCAACTCTGACCCCGGCCTGCATGGTCCAGATTACACCAGGGAGCGACAAACCTTGTAACATCATGACCTCTTTACTGGTGACACACATACAAAGACACCTGCACAGAAATACACACACACACACGGTGTCATCTTTCTGTGTCAACTCATTTCATTAGCTTGTTGTGTTAGCTGTTTTTTTTTTTAAAGAATGATCTCTCAGTATTCATTTTTCAGACTCCAATATCCGCTGAGCTCGGCTGCGAGGAGGCCTGAGGGACCGGGTGGTTAACAGCCATGTTTGTCATCATCTGATTATTTGTACAAGATCTTGCATCATCTTGCTGTTTAATGCTCTGAACAGAGAATATTCACTGACACATTCTTGGATGCAACACATCTGTCTTTTTGCAGCCCAAAATCTGCACAAAGAAAAGTAAGTGGAGTTTGCCAGCTTTCTTTCTTTTCTGCTTTTGTTTGCATTGAAATTTGTCACCCGTTTCTAATAGACTTATTGCAGAGCATTTAAAAAGGCTTCAGGGTGAGTATCGAGTGAGACTTGCTTCGGTGAATATTTCTGCCTAGAGGAATTCTTTGAAATAGTGGTCTGCTAAGTAACTTCACTGCATTGAGCTCAATAGTTCCTCCACACTACTTACAGAAATGATTTTTCTTTTGCATGCAGCCATATCAACAAATCGTCTGTACCATGCTAATTTGAAAGTGAGAAAAGTATTCAGAAAACATTTAGAAAATGCACCAGCATGCGTGTGTGTGTGTGTGTGTGTGTGTGTGTGCAGCAGGAAGGATTTCCAGATTGTCCGGCTCTCCTGCAATCTAATGGGTTATTTGTCATCTGCAGAGTAAAGGATTTTTAAAAGTCAAGTCAGGACCGACTCCCTCCCTATCCTTTCTCTCGCCCTCTCACCCTCCTTCTCTTTCCCACTACCCCCCTGACACTCGCAATGGGAGATCGATAGGTTATTGATCAACTCTCTCTATCGCCAACCCACCAGACTAATCACCTTAACACCAGCCCTTCCTCTCTCCCTTCCTCTCTCTCTCTCTCTCTCTCTCTCTCTCTCTCTCTCTTCCCTTCTTCTTCATCTTCCCTGTTGCTCTCAGCTTCCGTCCCTCGCTCTGTTGCTCTGTGTCACACTCATTCGCAGAGTAAACGCCATTTTTTTCCCGCATTTGGAGCTCGAAGCCTGCTTCATGAGCGTTTCGAACGTTTGAATTCTCCCAATATTAAAAGCCCTTCCTTGTTTCTCCTAGTTGCCAATAATCGGCAAACAGAATCTATGTGGCCGTGCTTTAGATAAAACAAGAACGTTTACCTTGGCAAGTGCTCTTCATCCATCTCTCATTTCTCTCCTCCGCTCCCTGCCTCCATCTCTCTCTGTCTGTCTTTGTTTGAGGGCAAAATCGATGGAGTGTATGAAACCAGCATATTTCTCTGCCTCCTGCTGTAAGAGACCTGAAGGAAACACACATGGAGAAAGTGGTTTAAAGTTGAGCTTTACATTTACTTCAATATTTGTTGGTTATAGTATACCAATCTCTTAAGCATTGGAAGCTCGGTTAGTGAACATTGAAGCCTGGGGAACATAAATCTCACGTACTTTCATGGAGAAGTTAGGAAAGCTAAGCTGATTGAAGTGTTTTTTCATATGTGATTTGTCTTGATTTGCCGTTTCCACATCACGATCAACTACCTTCCCAGGCATAAACCAGGCTCACTATGGCTAATTTTATTTATGTACCCAAAAATCACTAATTTGTCTCAAAGGGCATTAGAGTCTGTCAACATACGGCCCTCTGTACGGATGAGAAAAACAAAATACACACACACACACACACACACACACACACACACACACACACACACACAAATAACCCTCTTTCGTCTGTTGAATTAATCATCAAAAACAGAAGATTTCTTTTCAGCATGTCAACAGTTCAACAATATGTTTTTACGAAGAGTCTGAACAAGAGCAACAAACTCAAGCAAGAGGTCAGTCACGTTTGTTTTTGTTTGTGTTTTCGATCCGGGACAAGCGAATGATGTCCAATGCATCCCTTTTGGGTAAGGTCTTCCAGTGGTGCAGCTGACTAATAATCAGTTACTTTGGCTCTGTATGGTGAAGATAAGAGTTTCCCTTGTATAAGCCTCTAACTGTAGAGTGATGTGCTAAAAAGCAGATAATCCCTGGAGGAGACGCCAGGCGACCTTTGCCCTTTGGATTTAAAACGGTTGAAGATTATGTTGCTCTCGATATTAAGTGGTTGAAATGACAAGTGTGGTAAACTACCCTATAATTTGTGATCTGATCCGTTTATATTGTAATCTACTTTCCAATATTTGATTGCTTAAAATAAAGGGATAATTCAAATATCCACATACAAACATACAGTGAACTGCAGAAACAATATAACTGTGCAATACTAAGACAAACACCAGGCGTGCACACACACACACACACACACACACACACACACACACACACACACACACACACACGCACACACACCTAGCAGGAGAATTGATTGACTATTCTGTCTCAATACATCTCTCCTTCTGTTACTTAGCAACCGGTGTCTGAGCGGGTATGGATGCTGGACAAGTTGTACTCCTGTGCATTTTCAGTTGATGAAGAGATATGACTAACGAAAATGTCACCGTCTCTTTGCGGTGAAACGCTAGAAAATATGACTCAGAAATAAATGACACACATGGTCTTTTGGATTTTGTTGTTATGTTCTTGATTTACAATACTGCACCGCTGTATAGTTACAAATCTAAAAATCTTTACTTTTATTAATGTCTTACGTGCATTTTCATTCTTTCATAATCACAGACGCTCCTGAGATGAAATAATGTGTTTTGTTATATTTTCTATAATATTGTTTAATTTCCTTCCAGGTCAGATTTATTAGATTTTAACAAGGGTGACTTGTATTCTTTCATCTTGAAAAAGCTGATGATAGATTGTGTTTTCAGAGTCCTCACTTCATAAAGTTGATGTATTTTCTTTAAATACAGCTACTGCAACAGAAGCAAGGTAGACAAAATACCTACTATGGCAATGTAAAAATATGCACTACAACAGATGCTGCTTTATAAATCTGTAATATCTCATGTGTCAGGTTTCATACAAAACACTGGAGATGAAATTGTATTTTTTAATGATGTTCTTGTTGCAGTAAAATAAGTGTCTTGTCTGTCTGCCTCTTATTAAAACACAAACCATGCATGGTATTGACTTTGTAAGAAATTTCAAAAAGCTGAATTTCCCTTTAATGCCCTTAAACCTCAAATTATTTCCCATATGTATGCAATGACATATTCAGAATGCATTGATGAAATAAAATAACACAAAGAAATGTGACAGACATGCCTCGGCTTTCTGCCACAGAAGATGTGCAGCTCTATAAAAAAAAAAGGCCAGACTATTGAGGTGGCAAAAGCCAATGTGGGGGGACAAATAAATAATAATCATGTATAATGAAATATTATTTATAAATGTAAAGTTTTAAACAAAGGTGTGGAAAGCTTGAGTCAGCCTGCAGCAAATGTCTGTTGTAGCTCCAGGACTTTTGTAATTTGTTTCAACTTGAAAATAAGCATGTGAAGAAAATAAGCAGGTGAACTTTCTTCTTTCCGGCCAACATGTACAGATTTCATTACACTTTTTGTTATTTTGCATTTGAATGTACCGTTTTAGCTTTGGCTTAGTCATCACAAGATACAACATTTGTAAAACATTCAATCAACTCCATGTGTTATGTTGGCTAGACAGCAGATAAGCAGATGGCACTTTTTGTCAGCTATACTGTATTTGCACATAAATAAGCTGCAGTGTCCTCTAATGATACTCGCAGTGCACTTCAGCATAACGACATGGCTTG